TATTTGAGACTTTTTATTATTAAATATTTTTTTGCTTAGTATAACCTTATTGTTTATTATAAGCCATAATATAATAAGCCTTTTAGTTTGGATATAAGCCTTTTAAGCCTTTTTTTATATAAAAGTTTTATAAACAGATTAAGATTTTAATACATAGAATAGATGCCAATTTTGTATAAATAGACATGTTTTTTGTCTTTCTAAAAAAATATTTCCGAATTGATTCTCATTAAGAATTAATAAAATCTTTAAAATCTTTAAAATTTCTTTTTGTTTTAATATAATAAAAAATAACCTTTTATAAATTTAATTTTATTATTTAAAACTAATGTTCAATGTCTGATATTATATCTGAAAATATATCTGAAAATATTTCTAAAAAAAATAAAAGAGATTATAAAGAATTTTGTGTTTGGGATCATTTTAATAAAGAATCTATAGGAGGTGAATATTATTCAGCAAAATGTTCTTATTATTTTGAAAAATGGACCAGAAGAAGACCTGATAAATTAAAATCTCATTTAGCATTATATTGTAATAATATATCACAGGATATTAAATTAGAATATTTAGAATTATTAGTTACTGATAATTCTAATAAAAAAATTAAAAAAAATGAAAATAGTTCTAAAAAATTAATAACAAATTTTTATGAATCACTAACAAAAATTGAAAAAACAAAAAAAATAGAATTGATCAAGCATTAATTAGATTTTTTATATATTGTAGTATTCTATTTCCTACTATTAATTATCCATATTTTATAGATTTTATTCAATGTCTTTGTCTTGGTTATATCCTTCCTGAAAGAAGAATACTTTCATTAACTATTTTAAATCAAGAAATTTCTTCTGTTTTAATTAAAATTAATAAGGAACTTGAATATAAAAATAATTTAACACTAGGTAATAATATATTTAAATTTATTATTTATAATTTAATTAAATTAATATAATTTATAATTTATTAGCTATAGATGAATGGTGTAGTCCTTTAGGAAAATCTATTTATGTTTTTGTAATTATTATACCTAGCAGAAAACAATATATTCATGCTTTAGTTAATGAATCAAACAAATCTCATACAGCTTCTTTTAATATTTCTAAAATTGAAAAAGTTTTAAATTTAATTAGTTTTAAAAATTTTGTAACTATTGTTTCAGATACAGAATCAGCTATACAATTAGCAAAACAAATTATTTCTACTAAATATCCTTCTATATTACCTATTAGATGTATAGCTCATCATATTAATCTTATTACTTCACATATTATTAATTAGATTTTGCTAAAGCTGTTTTTAAAAAATGTCAAATGTTAATATCATTTTTTAAAAATTCTTATCGTACTGGTACTGCTCTTCAAGAAGATATTATTAATTCTTTTATAAAAGGTGGAGGATTAAAAACTTTACTAAAAACAAGATAGTCTATTGCTTGGGATTGTTGTAATTCAATTATTAGATTAGAAAATAGTCTTAAAAATATAAGTTAAATTTTATTTTTTTTATTAAATTTTTTAAAGTTTTAATAATTTTATATATTTTATTTAGGTTCTTGAAAATCAGTCTGAAATTTTTCAAAATGCTTTAAATATTAAAAATATTCTTTGAAATCGACAATTTTGGCAAGAATTAGAACAATTAGAAACAATCCTTACACTTTCTAAAAAAATAATTCAAGTAGTTGAAAATAAATCAAGCAATATGGCATTATGTTTTTTAGAATTAATTAAAATAACAATTGCAATTAAAAAAATTTCTAATATAACAGATTATAATTTTAAAAAACAATGTATCAAAATTTATAATAAGTATTGGAAACAATTTGATATTTTAACATATCTTCTTATTTATTTTTTACATCCTAAATATAGAGGTATGATTAATTATATTTTATTTTTAAATTTAAAAATTTATAAATTTTTATAAATTTATAATTTATTAATGTAATCTAATTTTATTTTAAATAGAAGATGTAAAGATAAAGTATTTCGTGAAATTTGTTTACATGTTATGAAAATTTGGAAAAATTTTAGTGGAAATACAAATAGTTGTAAAATTTTATTAACCCAACTTAGAAAATATTCAGAAAAAACTGAACTATATGATATGGAATATATTGAAGATCATGATATACCTGAAATTTGGTGGACAACTTGTAAACAATCAGATAATTATATACAATAATTAGTATTAAAAATGTTTGCTATTGTTCCTTATCAAGCTACTTGTGAAAGAGTATTTTCAGTTTTAAATTGGATGTTAGGAAATAAAAGAATAATATATAAATAATATTTAATTTATAATATTAATTTTATTAATTTTATTAATTTATATTTAAAAATTTTTATAGATTAGATATTAATCATCTTCAATCAATGTCACAAATTCATTTATTTTATATTACAAATATAAAATCTGAATTAAAATTTTCTAGAGAAAATTTTAATGAAGAAGATCTTGAAACTATAGTTAATGAAATATCAGAAAATTTAGTTGAAGATGATAATCTTTTTGATGAGAATGAAAATAAAAATGAAAATGAAAATGAAGATGAAGATGAAGATAATAGTTTTGATTTAGATGATGAAAAAAATGAAACTAATCTTAATGATTTACTTATTGCAGAATTAATAGATTTGAATTTTTATGATAATAATGAAACTGAAACTGATTTATTTTCAAATCAACAACAATTAGAAAATGAAGAAGATTTAAATATTGATTTAGAAACAATACTTGCTGAAGAATTTCAAAATTAAAATATAATTTATATTTAAATATTTATTTTTTATATTATTTATTATGATTTTTTTTATTATAATTATTATTTAAATTTTTTTTCCTGTTACAGGTTTTTTTTATACTATAATATATAGTTTAAAAATATTATAGTTTAAATATTTTTATTTAACAATTTTTATTTTATTTGTAATTTATTTTTTATATATTTGTTATTTATTAAATTGATTTCTCAATAAATTTTTTAAGTTTTTATTTTTATTAATCAATTAAGTTGAAAATTTACTGTAACAAAGTTAGTGTGATGGCTAGGTCTTTTGACAAGATATTATGTTATGATATTACATTATAATTACATTATTACAGTTACTGATTATGATTACAGCATTATGGTTATGACATTACAATTACGGCATTATAGTTATAGCATTACGGTTACAGCATTACGATTACGGCATTACAGTTACGGCATTACGGTTATGGCATTACGGTTACGGCATTATGGCATTACGGCGTATAACATTTACGACAATCAGGTACTGTGGTAGAATTCATTCTACCACATGGTAGAATGCCGTAATGCCGTAATTCAGTAATTCTACCGCCAACTATACTTATACCAGCCTACAAGTATTGAGAGTTACGATGAATTAGACCTAGAATCACTTTTAAAAACACGATAGTTGAAAATATTAATATTAAAGAAAATACATGCTTGAAGTGGGTTTAAGAAAAATCAACAGCGCGATACACCTGATCAGAATTTATCCAGTTAAAGGGATCAAAGTCATTTTTTAAAAGGATGAGATAGTAAATTTAGTAAAGCCAGAAATTAATAAATAGGAATAAAAACCACATAATTTAAGAAATAGAAACCCGAATTGTTTCACGGCATTGGAGTTAAAAACTTATATAATTTATCAAGAAAAAAGAAAAATAACCCAAATTAGCAACTAAAAATATTTTTTTTGAGTGTCGAAAGCGAAAGTCTGTAACATTGTATAACGTTATAAAGCATATGAAATATTGGTTTATTTAATTGAAAAAAAAGCTTTGTATTAATAAGAAAACTTTATACAGTCTCAACTCTTTCTGTAGCGAATTGACGGTGAAAAAAAAAGTTCGTTATAATAAATCGCTATGTTTTATCAAGAACCCATGATCGAACTATTGTGAAATTTAAATATTTAAGTTCGTTGCATTCAGAGTCGATTGGACATATAATATATATATGTGTTTTTTTTTTTAAATCGAGAAAATCCTTGCGTTAATCGAATTGCTTAATTTTCCGAACCCAACCTGGTACATATTTTCTGGGTGTATGTGGGTGTCAGATTAGTTGTATAGTGACACGAGAGAAACGGCGAGCCAGTCGCGGATACGTCGTGTAACCTACGAATCGGCTTAGTCGAAAGGGGCGTGTTATATTTGGCGAGTGGATAGTTTATGATTGTAGGCATTACTATAACGAATGTAGGATATTATTATTAGAAGACGAATTTTATTTGGATCACGAACACTCATGTTTTCTTCGTAGGGCTCGAAGCCTTTATTATATACTTTCGTTTATGTAAGGCATGTTATACACTCTATTCGTGATATAGCACTTATACTTGTTATCCCTCTTTTACTAATTATAATGTTTATGTTACTGATAATGATTATATTGTTTATACTGATTATTATAACTAGGAAAACAGGTGCTGTTAGTGTCCGATATTTTCCATTTTATCGGGCTGATCCGTGTCGATCTGTTATATTAATTTAAACTCTGATTGGATATATATCACGTGAGCGGAACCCAAGACATTTTGTGTATTACGTTTCCATTGTAAGTCCTCGCTACGCTTCGGACAATTATACACTGTATCCCACTGATCCCCCTTATTGCACTGATATCCATTATCAACCAAATACAGCGAATACAGTGTATACTGCCGGTAAACACATTTTCAGTAGGTGATCGACATAGCCGTTAATTCGTCACTGCGCCACATCGATCGCCTTTTTCCGAGATTACAGTCCTACGGCTCACAATAGCATCAACGGTCTCTCCTGTAGTTGATAGTCATATTTTTGACGCAACACCAATCAAACAATGCGATGTATCAAAAATTTAACTATAATACAGACACTAAATACGACGTTACATTTTTGATATTCTATTATTGATGCAACAAAAATGTAACTTATTTATACACTTTAAAATACGTACTATTAATAAAAAAATACCGTTACTGGCTTTAAATGAACATTGATAATCACTATGCAAAAGAACCTCGATTGCATACTGTAAAGGTACAGGAAATATTCTCATCTAATAATAGCACGCTTCGATGGATTGGCTAATGATTGTGGTGACGCACTATAATGATATTTAATTAGATAATTGCAGTGATAGTATGTAGAATTGAATTATTCTCACGTATCTTCCTTCAAGAATTAATTTCTGATTGTGTTAATATTCAAATATTATAATAAATAAAAACATTGATTTTGACTCGAACATATAAGTAATATAAAATTAAACCTAATTCACTTTCTAATCTGCATAATCAAATATATATATATATACAATCAAAAATTTAGTCAAGAAAAAAATTTTTTCATAGCATCTTTTAAAATCTAGAATAAAATATTCGAACCGGAGATTCTGTGATTTATAATTACAGTTAAAAAAGATTTACAATAAAGTACTGTATTAGTTTTAATTCAAAAGACAAATCCACAAAACTATATATAATAGCAAAACCTATAAGCAGTCCAGGCAATACAAATGCTATAAATCATTTTTTTTCTAGTCATATTTCTTTCTTCAGGTGTTCCAGAATTTATTATCAACCGACTCTACTGAATTTGCCAAGCTCGGTTCATTTAACGATAAAAATTTTTATTTAGATCATTATGATTGGATATTATGAGTCCGATTTTTGTGATCACCAGTTCCCGAATCGAAGACGATCCCTACCCGATTCGAGGTCACGTGAAAAGTAACAGAAATGTTACTTCTGTCACTTCCGTTACTTCCGCTATTTCGGTTACATACACGATAAAGGAATATCGACCTTTTATTAGATTTAATTAAGATATAGAGCATAAGTAGATATTACATTTATGACAGAAATTAATTGCGAATGTAAATAATTCTTTTATTATAAATAAAGGCCTTCTCACCCAGGGGAAAGAATAACGAGACAACCCCCAAGTAAATACATTTGTCTAATAAAACTAAGTACCCGTTCCTTAATAAAATGAACGTAATACTCTAACCAAACCAATAAACTGTCGTTAATCTCATTGTAACCACTATCGTTCGTCCGTAAACCACTAAAACCGCCATTGAACATTCGGCGTAAGTCACGTAATCAAGAAGGCCGTTAACGAAGAAGAGTCCAACCCCGATTCGACGTAGTGTAATCCCGGGTTGAGGCATACAAGAGAAGACAAGAGTTGGTACAAAAATAGGTTGAAGGAAGACTCAAAGAGGAGACTAGTACTTACCTACGAACAACCCACCAATCAAATCTAACACGCCTACTTCGACTTAGCCGCCGTAGATTACGCAAGAGTTGGATTAGTTTAGCGATAGACTCGCCGATTTCCGAATTACAGTAGCAACTGGGTAGATATGAAAACAAACAAAAATTGGAATCATGTGAACCAACTTATTTCAATCATAAAGGAATGAATAAAAATCTTTTTCTAAACAAACCATCATAGTTAGCAATTTTTTTTGAAAATTCACTATTCGGAAATCTATAACAAAAAATTTAGTAATGAAACCTTATATAAAGATTGTTACCTAAAAAATAAAAATGTAGTTAGCACATTAACATAACATAATGAGTCAACACTGATGCTTGATGTACTATGCATAGTTACAAACCAATAAAACCCTGGGCATTCCCGCAAGTCAGTAGGGTTGTTGGCGCCATTAAGATATATATAAATATATTGTGAGCCCGATTTTTGGGGTCACGAGTTCCCGAATCGAAGCAACGATCCCTACCCGATCCAAAAAGTAACATTTCTGTTACTTTTGTAACATCCGTTACTTCGGCTACACATGCATTAAATAGAATATCGACCTTTTATTAGATTTAGTTAAGATATAGAGTATAAAGAAGATATTAGATTAATAATAGAAATTAATTGCGAATGTAAATAATTCTTTTATTATAAATAAAGGGCTTCTCTCTCAGGGAAAAAAAAAACAAGCAGTGATACCCTCAGGTAAATACACTTGCATAATAAAACTAAATACCCGTTCCTTAATAAAAGTGAAGTACTACCATATCCAAACTAATAAACTGTCATTAATCCCATCACTAACATAATCGTTCGCTCAGAAAACCACCAAACCGCAAGTTGATCGCTCGCCATAAGTCACGTGAGCAAGGAGGCTGTTAACGTAAGAGAAGAGTCCCAGCCCCGATTCAACGTATTGTAATCGCATAAAGACAGAAAATAGTTAGTATAAGAATAGGTTGAAGGAAAGACTCAAAGAGGAGACCAGTACTTGCCTACGGACAAGAACCCACTAGCCAAACCTAACACGCCTGTTTCGACTTAGCTGCCGTAGGTTACGCGAGAATTAGAATAAATTAACAACAGATTCGCCGGTTTTCCGAATGACAATATATAGTAATTTATTTTACTAATGCTAACAGCCCTACACGTTAGAACCACCATGATTCGGTCATGGAAATAACTCCACCTTTCATTGAATATTTTTCGTAACTTCAGGTATAAGGAACCAAGCCTTGTATTTCCTTTTTTTTAAAAAAAAATAAACAGATGAATGTATTTATGTAATAAGAAAAAATTTGTTACTGAAATAAATTTAGAAAGACTGTCAAGTGGAATGGGATTAACAATTGTAAGTGGAAAAACATTACCTGAACAATCCGGAACAACATGATGTCAAAAATGCCAAACTTAGTGTGGAAAAAGAACTTGTAGAAAACTAGTGCTTAACTCCGAATAGAAGAATCAAAACAGCATAATGACGACAAAGCTTGGATCTTTGTATACCACATCGAATTTAAAGATAAAATGAAAATGTTGGTTAAAAGTTCTAAATGAATTGAAGCACATGGAAAAAAGAACCAAATCAGGTTCAGATATTTACATAGCTTCGAATAAATTCTCACGTATTCGACCCTAGAGGAACCTGAAAAAAGAATTTAAACCGGTTATCATAATGAAAATAAAAATAAATAGATAAATAAGATTATAATAAATAATAAAAACCGCAAGGGTGAAAAACCAATCGAACTATCAGGTAACTATTTACTACAGAAATTCCAAACAAGACAGCGAATTAATTGACAGTTTCATGAAAGGTCTCAGAACACTTAATTGAACCAAAGAAATCAGATGGAAATTTCGTGGTCATTTTGGTAAGCGAAACTGATGAACAATGTTAGGATAAGATGCTAAATCAACACGTAAAAAACATCATTGATCCTGAAATTTGATAGAATTAAGTTAGAGCATAAATAGTAGGACTCAAATAGTAGAAATCATATAATAATGAATAAAATGAAACTCTATGATGAACTCTGACATGCAAATTGTCATTGAGTTTGAGTAAAGCTTCAAGAACCGAGAAAGCCTGTGTAACTCACCTCAATAAAACGAAATTCCAAATTACAAAACCCTTTAATAAATTACAATTAAATAGCTGTTAATCTAAGATAAACGCCGGGATGTATGGAAAAAATAAACTGTAACCGAAGCTAACGTGATCGAAGGTGTCACAATCGATGATCGTGTCTGAGAACTTAATTAGATGCAAATGAGTGAAACTCTAATTGAAACCGTTATCAAAACATTAATAAAATGTAGTAATATATAAAAACAGAAAAATTCTTACTTCAATAGTGTCCAAGAGGGTCAAGAAGATTATAACAAACCAATAAACTCGCCAAATCTCCTATTCCTTATTTCGAAACGTGGTGACCCGAATTACCCGATATTACAAAGTTAACCAATGTAACGAATTCAACAACAAATTTCAATTCACCTAGAAAATATCCACCTTTGACAACAAAAAAGAAAGGTCAGTACTAGCCAGCTCTGTAAATGGTTTAAATTTTTTTTTATTAAAATTTACTCATCTTAGTAAGCGTTCTTTTGACATCTTTCATGATTTGTGTCCGCATATTTAGCCGATGGTCGTGGATTAATAAAAATTTCGAAAAATTATAACTTTCACTTGATCGGACCACGACATACCAGAAATTTGTACGTTATTTGATCTGGTTAAAATAAATAAGAAATTGGTTAATGACTAGTCATTAAGTAGTAATATTTTCATAGCCTAACAAAAAGTTTTTTTTCAAAAATAAAAAACATAACTGATTCTTCCTGCAGAATCAGTAGATTTTATAAAAACTTCATTAAAATTACTTTTATGTTCTAAGAAAGAACAACCCTTACTAAATGCTCAGTTTTCAATCTAACAAACAATCCTTTCGAATTGTATGTAGAATGAACCCTCAACAATAGCTTAGGCAGCATAGCTTAAAAGAAATTTTAAAGGTTTGACTACTAATAATAAAACTTACTTTAATAACTTCCTCTCCAATATCTTTCTTTCAATGTTTTCCTATTTGACATCTTTAACGTCTTTTTCTGCACACTAAAGTTCATTATTTTTTTAAAAAACAATAAAAAATAAAGATTGTCAAAACAATTACGTGTTAGGTGTCGATCACATCTCAATTTGTATTGTTGATAATTAGATCGTAAGTGCGTGATTTTCACATTACACCTGATTCTTCCGGAACAGTCCAATGCTACATGATGTTCATGTATTGTCATATGTTGTTTAGCCAATCAAATTACAAGTATTAAAAGAATAAAAAAAATACAAAAAATAACAAAATCAAGATAAAATTGAAGCTACAGTATATGGATTTGACTTCTTTTTTAGCTAAATGAGTAAGCATATCATTGTTCTATTCATTTATTAACTAATAACAAATTAACTTCCAATATCATTATCTATAAAGACTTTCGTGTATATAATTTATAAAGACTTTTATGTATATAATTTCCCGTATATCTCACATGATCTTTAATCATACAACAGTTATTTTAATGGAAAGTTAAAGTTTTGTACAATCTTAGATACTTTTATATTGTCTTTCACAATTATCCTGTACTGTATTAAAAAAAGTGCTTTAAAACAATATAAAAAAGTTTTTTATGAATTGTGTAACAGATCTACAAATGATGTGACGGTTTCCCCTGTTGAGCTACGGGCATTGATAGTAATAAGTTTTATTATTAAAAAACAGGTGTTGAATTATGATAATAACATGTACAAGAGGAATGGTCTGGTATTGTAAAATAATTATGTGGTAGCACCTGGAAAATGTGTACCAGGTTGGGTCCGGACGGTCGTCCGGATAATTAGATCGAAATTATAATATAACGCTAAAAAAATTACGTACTCATTACGTTTTACATTAATTTATGCAAAAAAATAAAATTTTACGTAATAAATATTTCTAAGCTATTCCTTTTGCAAAAAAGATTCGAAGTTCATTATAGACTCGTATTTTAATATTGTATACTGTTACTTCGCTATTTTGCAAGCTAAAGCTACAATATAAATTAGAACCTAACGAACTATTGAATGTATTGAATCTACTTCCCCACTTCAACGAATACCTACAAGTACAGTCAGACCTCTCTATAGTCACCTCCTCTATAGTCACATTTGCTTGTAATCCCATAAATTTTAAAACCAACTTATATAACACTTACAAAATTTAACCTCTATATAAGCACAAACTCTCTATTAGCATCAAATTCTTTAAGGGTAGAATACAATGTTGATCATTTCTATATATAATTAGTTGCAAATTTTTATCAGTTTTTTTTATATTTAATTTTTTGAAAAAATATATTAAGTAAATAAATTTTAATCCTTATATAAAAATTGAGAGCAGGTCTTTCTGATTCTAATGATAGTAAAATTATTAAAATTGGGTAAAAACTCATCAAGATATGAGTTTTTAAACATTAGTATCAAGAACAGAGTTTGTACAATATACAATATAGTGTATACCAGAAACAGAGTTTGTACAATCTACAATGTAGAGTATAGTTTACAGACAAGTGAAGTGATGTATACAAAAAAGTATATTTGATTGGTTGGTTTTCACATGACAAGATATTTTTATGTTTAATGCACCTTTAGTTTAAACCAGTTTGATACAACTTTATTTGGATTATAAATATAAATCATTGTTAGTGTATTTACTGTTTATTTTTTATAGAAGACAACATGCATACCTTTTTTATTATGAGGTATCTTTTCTTATTGGTGATTTGCATTTTGTTCTATGGGTAACTATTTTGAAAATAAGCTTATAATTCAGTTTTTTTTTTATTTTATTCATTTTAACTATTAGTATATATCAATATCAGGTACATATTTTCTAAAAAAAAAAAGGCTTAAAGTTAATTTAATAAGTTGATAAATGTTAGATTTTGCAAAATTTACCTGTTAAATAATAATAAATCAATTTTTCTAAAAAAAAAAACCCCTGTTATTTTAAAATCAATTTCTGCCAAACTTATATTATATCATGTTTTTTGCTTATTTTGATTATTGCTTTAAATATATAACAACTGCTTATTGTCTGTTAACCATTTTACTTAAAATAGATTTGTAATTGTAGTAATTTACACTTACTATATATATATTCATTAATATGATAATCACCAAATCCAAATTATATCTTGTTTTTTGCTTATTAAAATAGCTTTTCTGTAATTGTTTATATATATTATATATCGATTAATATAATAATTGTCCTAATCTGAATTATATCTTATTTTTTGTTTATTTTAGTTATTACTTTTGAATATATAACAGCTACTTACTGTCAGTTAACTATTTTACTCAAAAATATATAGCTTTTCTGTAATTGTTTGCAATATTCAATAATTCACTATATTAACTTAATAAGTATATACATATTATATTTAATATACTAATTAATATAGTAATCACTCTTAATACAAGTAATTTTCTTAATATAAGATCAATAATCAAGTTATGACTTCAAGTTAAAAAAATATGATTTATTGATAATAGGAAATCTTTATATTAAAGCCTCAAAAATAATCAAAAATTGTTTAATTGTATTCAAAGTTCATTGTAGTAATAAATTTGTGAATAGAACAACTTATATTATTAGATTAAAAATAAAGCTTGTTGTATTAAAAAGAATACATATTTTATTGTATTAAGATTTGTCTTACTAAAAAGTTTAATTTTATATAAATATAAAGCTTTTAGAGCTTTTGATGAGTTAATTTATTGAAACTATAAACTATTTAGAATTAAAAAAAATGTCTTCTTATATTGCTCTTCTTGTTGCTATAATCAGTGTAAAAAATAGTTATTTATATTCATTTGATGATATAAAATACAAACCTTCTAAGAAAACATTTCAGACTGTTAGATGAAAATACTTCTTTCCTATAGATAAACAACCTTAAATGTTCATGCCTAGTGATATTGTATTTATTTCAGACAAATATATAGTTGAAAATTCTGAACAATGTATCGCTATTGCATATGCAATCATTCTTGATTCCAAAAACCCAATTATGAATTTGATATTACTGATGTTTCTTTATATGTTTCTTATTGCATGTTTTCTGTTGTCATTAACCACAAACTGAAAAAAACTGAAAAAATTATTTATTTTAGTATAGAAAGTATTAAGTACAATTCTGTTACTAATACATCAAATATTAACATGCAGATGATAGTTTTTTACCTGTTACAATTGTGAGATTTCAAAATTATTTAAATCTTTTAGACTTAAATATTAAAATAGGTATGGCCTATTTTATATTTGGGTTTTTTAAATTTTTTTAGTTCAGAAAAATAATGATTAAGATGACTAACATTGAATATTTAAAAATTTTACAATGAAATTATAATGCACCTGAATACTTTTTCTTATTGATGTTTAATGCTCAATTAATTATTAACATTATTGCTAATGATGTCAAGAGTGCTCCTAACAAATTGCTATTAAAACTTGATAAATTTTTAACTTGTATCAAACCTAACAATACTATTATCAATAGTTCTACAGATAGTAAAGAAATTGAATTATATCATGAGAGTAAAATCAATGTAATTACCAAGATTCTGTTAATCTGAATACCCAACTTGATGAAAAAAAACATTCAGATCATAGTAATTAAAATGCTATAGATTTAAGTAAAGATGTTATTTTGCAGAATATAAATAAAAATCAAGAAGATAATTATCATTCTAAGAAGCAGAAAAGAAGTATTAAAAAAGTTACAAGGAAAAAAAAAAAGTAGAAAAAAGATAAATAAATAAAATTCAATGATTAATGCAAATAAACTTTGGCTAAAAAAATAAATAAATAATAAATAAATAAATAAATTGTAAAATAAAATTTATTGCTTAGTTTCATGTATTAGTTTTGACATATATTATGTTCATTTGTAGTTTTCAAATCATGTGAATTAATTAAAAATAAAATACTACAATTAATAATAATCAAATATATAAAAATTTATAATAATATATATTAAAATTGGATTTAAATAATTAATAAATAATTTATAATATAAGTGATTTGTAGTTAAGAAAATTTGTTACTTGCATTTTTTACTTTAAAATATAGTAAATTGTTAAAGTTCTTTATAATAGTGTTAAGATGTTAGTAACTCTATTTTAATCTACTAATATTTACATTTACTAGAAATAGAATACAAAGTATATAGTATATAGTTTACAGCAACTCAAATATGTGTGTACAATTCTTAGCATATAATTGGGTAATTTGTCATTGTGACTTTGTGTAGCATCCTGAACAATACTTTAAAAAGTAGGTATTATAAATAAATACTTCTGTATGCAAAATCTTGGAATTGATTGGTCTGTATAAATTATTAATGATTCAATATTTTTTAAAAAAAATATAAATGAGGACATACATCTGTAAAATCAAAGATGCTATAATAAATGATAATAAAAATAAGTTTTTTAGATACAAAAATTAGTGTTCCAATATAAATTTAAAGGCCTTAATGCTAAATATTTGGTAATTTTAATTTTTTCATTAAATTTTTTATTGGGCAGATAAAATGATAATCACTAATCATCAAAGACTTAATCGAAAGAATTTGGTAATCATTTTTATATACAGATAAGTTTTGTAGATATTAATGTTTTTTGCAGACCCCAGAATTTTGGGTTAGATTCATTGGAACTGCTAAAATTCAAACCAATATTCAATTGCAACTTCTTTTATAAAAAGTTATTTTCTTATACCAGAAATGGATTGCAATAAAGAATATGGTTTTCTATGACTAAAATGATATCTGTATAGATTTCTCTTATTTCTGGTTTTACATGACAACATTATGTAGCTACTTATATAATAATAAAAGACTATAACATTATGATCAAAAACTTATGATCTATAATAAATAGTCTGAAAAAATATTTATTGTTAATATGCCCTAGATATGCTTATACATTATAGAAATGTAAGATGTATTTAAAATTATGCTAGTTAATATATGAGAACTCATTATACAACTATACTAATTCTACTATTGCTAACTCTAATACTAAAGCTTTTGTCAATGCATGAATAGACTTAGCTTGAATATTAAATGAGTTGGGCTAATTGAAATGCAGTTGGTTTCAAATAAGTATTCTATAGGCTTGTTTTGTATAGTAGTGTCAAGTTTTATTTTGTATCTTTAAGACTTTTACTAATATGTTTGTTTTTTGTTTTCTCATATATATTGTGACTAAGTATTATTCTATAACAAGTCCAATCAAAACTTGAGTCACAATACTGTAGTCACATGATTATATTTAAGCTTCAAAATCTAAAATTACATATTGTTTAATAATTTAAGATTTACTAACTTAATCATATAATAATTTTATAAAAAAGGGTTTGAACTATTAATAATATCTCTATTAATTTACTATAATAGGTTTATTATGAATCACAGAAACAATCAAATATGACTATTTCAAATGATATGTTTTAACAGAAGGATTTTAATACTTTTGCTTTGTTATTTTCAAAGTTTTAAATATCAAAAGTTGTTATTTATTAAAATAAACTCTATTACTTATATGTCTTTTTGTTATATATAACCTAAATTTTGAAAATTTAACTAATTTTTACAATATACATTTTCTTTACAATTTTATTAATCAGTATGATTTCATTGATCAATCTTATATTCAAAGTTTGCTATTTTACCAAACTTGCTAATTTTATTAAATTTGTAAAATTTTCAAATTGATTTTAACCAAATAAAGCTTACAAAGTACATATACATATATGCATCAACTAGAAATAAACTTGACATAATTGTAAAAATGACTGCTTCTAAAATTTATTATCTAAAAACATAAATCCAGTACAAATAAATAGTGTTGTTTATTAAGAACATTACTAAAAAAGTTGTAATAATTAATGTTTTAACTATATTAAAATAGTGAAGGACCAGAAATATAATGATCAGATCCAATATACTGAGCAGGTTATAGTATACTTCACAGCTGTGCAAGCTAAGCTTAAAATAGTAAGCACCTTTGCAAAAGATATTACAAATACTATCTCTACCTTCAATGCTTTATCTCCTACTAAGATAGAAAAATGCTATACTAAATTCTTAAAACAACACAACCTATTTCAAATCAATAAATCTGTTACATTCAAAAAATTCATCGAACATTTACATCTAAATAGCTTTTTCAATTAAATAAAAATATTAATAAATTTTAAAAAAATTGAATTACACATTTACTTAAAAACTACAAACCAAATACTATCAAATCATATAAAAATAGATTCTTCTCTCTATAATATATATAGCTATTTACTATTACTAATACCTTTCAATTAGACAATTTCCAACACAAACTTTACTGATCTCTTTACATTTAACCAACCAATCCATCTTAATATTTCTACAACATCTTCTTCTATTTTATCAATAATCATATCTGAATATACTTCTATTCTAATTAAAATTGGATCAATAAACATAAATGTCTCTTTCACTTTAATAAGAATCTTTCCTTAATAGAACTCTTACAAGAAAACAACTTTGAAATTTTTAAACTCTCTGAAACACATTTGTCCTCTAAAGAAGAAAAAATCTTTAGTAACCAAATTCAAAATTATACTAGTTTCTAAAGCTTATACAAATCCTCACCAAGCTAATGTTAATATCTTTATATACAAAAAAGTTTCTAAATATATTGCCAAATCTCATGATTACAATGGTCATATAATTTTTATTTCAAAAACACACCTATTAGACTCCTTCAAATATACTTACCAACTTATAAAAAAACAACTTCGTAAAGAAATCCAAGACCATTTAATTTCTTTTACCCAAAATAACAAATATAAACTAATTATTATAAAAGACTTAAACAGTATCCCAAATTTAAGAATTGATAAACCTTTTTTAAAAAAATCAGCAATCCCAGAAAGCCAAATAATTTAATATCTAATTAGCTTCTGATTTAAGGACATTTATTACATTTTCTATTCTAATACATCAAACTTCACTTTTAGTTAAAACAATATACAAAGCTAAATTGATCAAATATGAACTAACTTATCTATTACTAATATTGATTACACAGAAATCCTTTCAATTAGTACAATTAAATCCAATTATTAAATCATAACTCTTGAAATCTCTATTATAATCAATAAACCCAAACCTCATAAACAACATAAGTATAAAGTCTTTTTTTAAAAAAACTGTACCAAAGAAAACCTCAAAAACTATTATAAACAAACTACCAAAAATCTTCAATATTTATCTTCAATAATCTTAACAATTTCAAACCAAAACCAACTTAATACTATATGAAACAAAAGTCATAAAGCATTAATCAAAGCTTCTACTAAACATATTCCTTTTAAAAAATTAAAACAATTAAAAAATTTATAACTTTCTATCACCAAAACATTTATTACTTTATTTCTATTATAAAGAAATCTAATTTTTTAAAAATCATATAAACTCAACTAATTTTAATATATTACTTACCAACTACCAGACCAAATATACAAATTGCATATTTCAAACAACATTAGCCTTACTAACTCAAGTTAAAGAGAAATTTCAAACTATCAAAACTGCACTTAATTATCAATATCAACAATTAATTTATAATGAAATTAAAAAAAAAATAGAAAAATGAAACAAATCTTTTAAAGAAACACCTAAACTTTTTTACAGAAAAATTTTCAAAAAATAGAATAACATCCATATAAATAGACTATTTCTTAACAATAACCTTCTCACAGAACATAACAAAATACTAAATGCAATTAAACTTTATTTTACTGAATACTTTAAAACCAAACACCTCAAACTATTTCATTAATATCTGAATTCTACTCTCTTTATAAACCACATTCTGAACTTGAAATCCACTACCAAAATCTTACTCATGAAATTACTAAACAAGAATAACAAAACATTATCTTCAATTTACCTAATCAAAAAGTAGCAGGTCTTTTAGAAACCTGCTATAAACATATAAAATATGCTAGCTCTAAGCATAAAACATTTTTTGACTCTTTCTAAATAAATATTTTTATTTTCAAAAAATTTACTCAAACTGAAAATCTTTTAATATCTTCCTAATTTTCAAAAAATTTAAATGGGACTACAAACTAAATCAAGTTCATACAATTTCTATAATAGAACTTTTCAAAAAAACTTTCACTAAAATATTTATAAATCTATTAAATAACATCATTTCCCATAACAATATTCTATCAAATTTAAATTTTGCAGCTTCAAAAAACTTCTTTACATACTTCCTATACAAATTCTATATAACATAATTAAACATTATATAGCTACCAACAAAGAAGCCTAGATTTTCTTTCAAAATATGTTCAAGGCTTTTGATAAAATTAATATATCAAGACTCCAAAATACTTGTAAAAGAATAAAAATTACTTTAACAGAAATTAACAGAACTACACTCTCACTAATTTGCTAGAATAATTACTACTTATGATTTTACCTCCTAAATACCAATTAATTCTGGAATTGAATAAGATGAAACATACTTATCTTTCTTATAAAAAATTTACTATAATCCTATACTTTACTTTATTTAAAAAAAATACAAAAACCATTTATTAAAAATTTTATGTTAATTTCCTATTAATATTATAACTAC